ACAAAGGTAGAAAAACCCAGCGACACAGTATCAAATTAAACCAGGATGACTGCTCTGGTTGTATTGGAACATTTGCATTTAATTTGCATCTTTCAGATGCAAATTAGCAACCAGAAAAATCTTGCAGCATGTCCTAGAAAATAATGCAGGCCAAAAATATCCAAGGAATTGCAGCAACCTTAATGTGATGCAAGGGATGACCTGAAAGTTATTCTGTTCCTCTCATGGATGGGTCACTGTTTCAAAGTCTTGTCTGAATGATCTTCAGGCAGGAAATGACCCCTCAACCAGGACAGCATCAGCTCTGGATGTGTCTATTTGAGCTCCTTGTGTGCTACACAGTGGAGACCCAACCAAAGTCCTTCTGCAGGCTCCAAAATGGAAACTTTGAAAAAAACTAAAAACAAACTTGGAGGACCCAGAGAGACACAGGATAGAAACTCAACGTGAACCCATGATAATGCAGCTCCACTCTTCCCTCCTTACATGAGGAGAGAATCATCTCATACCTGGCAAACACTAAGGCACTTCTCTATCTGCCAACTCACATTTGGCCCTAACCCCAACAAGCAGTTTCAGCTCTTCCCACAGGTGGGCATTCTCACCATGACCCTCCAAGCCCTTGCTACAGATGAGGCAAAGCTCATTTGAAGCCTTGCTCATGTCTGCACCTTGACTTCTCACCTCTGTGAAACACACCCAAAGCAGCCCCACCTTATCTGGGGATTTAGAAGACATGTTTTTAAAGCTGTCACAAGTTGTGACAATGGTTTGTGCAACACTTCAAAGGGACTGTAGGGCCTCCAGGTCTGGCTGGTTAGAGAGCGGAATTTACTATTCAACCCATATATGTTAATTTCCTGGTTGGGTGACCCAAAAAATACAGAGGCTTGCAAAGTGGAGATATATTGCTAGATTTTAGGTTTTCCTGTTGTTATGCAAATTTGAGATTTTTGTAAGACAGTGGTTACAGCTTATGATAGCTTTCCTTTCTTTAGAGATACCTGCAAAATATTTGGTGAACACATTTCTGCATGTTCAGAAGTCCTCTCTGTGTATATTAAATAACCCCAGTTCTGAAAGTGCTGGTTACTTTGGTTATTGAGACACAGCTTCCTGTCAGGGGGAGAGCTGCTCTTCTTCAGGATCCTCAGTGAAGTCACCCTGAGATTGCTTTACAGGAAGCGTCTTCCAGGATTAGGAGCTCCTAAGCTAATAAAACACACAGGGGAAAAATAGTCTCAGAAAAGTGTAAATCCAGATTATCTTGAAAGACAGAAGAATATGTAGAAATGCTACTGCTGCCTGTTGAGACTGTGCATACTGCCAATTGATATTTAATCAGAAAAAATGCTGCATTGTGCATTGCATGTTCTTCTGAACATCAACATACCAATATGAATCAAGACTTAAATGCTCCAGAAATGAGCTAACACAGTGGTTAGTTCCAGTCACCTAATGTATTAGAAACTTACTCCACATGGACAGAGTATTTTGAGAGGATAATAAATGCCAAGGTTTCAAAGCAGCTTAATAATGTCTCTAGTATCAGATAATGAGAAATATCCTCAATGCCACTGAGCTGGACTGCTAATTATAGCGACTGTTCTTACAACTGGCATATTTAAGTGAAATAATTATTGTAATCCCTGTTTGTTAGCCTGGAACTCAGGATTCACTACCCACTGATGTCTGTCTCTGGTGTGAGAAAGAACTCTTGCTTCCTCTCACCTGTGTTCAATCAACCACACTAAGTAACTCTAGAGAGTCAAAGCCAAAGGAGCAAAGACTTCCTGTCATGTTCTCACCTGGACCTACACCAAGGGGCTACACTGCAGAGAAAACAATGACATAAAACAACAACTCATGTGAAAATTCTTTGGGAATCGTACAACATGTGCCCATCTCTCACTTGATCTGTGCCTCTGCACAGTGGTAACACAACAGGTAAATACTGATGAAGCCTTTGTGGTAGCTGTTGACCACTTCCATGTCATTCTCTTAGGAGATCTATCACATGGGTACCCTGAAAACATTTCTTCACCTTTTGTGTACTCAATAAGCAAGCTCCAGAAAGTCAGCCTGTGTTTCACACTGAGCTCAGTTTGGCAGGAATAACCTGAAATGTGTCTCTCACTAAAGCATTTGCAACTGGAAATGCAATAACATGTTAATTAGAAAATTCTTTACACAGTGAAAGGCACCCAGTGAACAATTAGTTTATACTTCACATAAGCCTCTTCTAACACAATCTTTATATGGGGAAAAGGAAATATGAAAGAAAGAACAACAGCACAGAAAACAGCATATAAAATGTTATATTTCAGTATCTCCCAAGTAGCCATTAGACCTTTCTGTGGGAATCTGCCTCAGACCTCTATCAGAAACCAGGATACTACTAAAGAAACCTGACAGATCAGAGGGTCATTATTTCCCAGTACAAAAACTGCAAGATCTGGAGAAAATTTTAAATGACAGAATATTAGAGAACCATCCCCTGATATACAGGATTAGTATTGTTATCAAGTCAAATATAAAATTGAGGCACTTTTTAATACATTCTCAATACAGGTCTTTTCCTCCAACCAGGGAAGCTCAGATGCAACATCTGATACTGAAGATGCTGTTCCAGGGCAATTGAGAGGATTGACTGGGCTGACTGAGGGCATAGGAAGGGAAAACTCACTAATACAAATACTTACTGTGTATAAAGCAGCTTGAGTCCTGGCCTCACCTCAGAAAGCCTCACAGTGTTCACAGCACCAGCTCTGCAGCCCTACACCTCGTGGTGTAGCCAGCCACCAACAGTCCTGCACCCACAGTGTCAAATGTAGAAATGCTGTTTATGACCATCCATGTATGCTTGTCCCAAATGGAATGGGGTGATGGGAGCACATGCAGCTCTTAACAGAGCCTGGACAACAGCACCGTCATTTTATTATTAAGTCAACATCTGCCTTAATGCAGCAATGGAATCAGACTTAAGGGGGTGAAATAAGTTCCTGGAGGCAGAGAATAGGTAATGGTCTCCACAGAGGTGTGTGGCCTTTGAAAATAACAACAAAAGAAACTCAGTGGTTGTAATTCATCTGTGCGCATGTTCCTCCAACACCTTTTGTGGACAAAAATCAAATACAACACATACATTTCTTTCAAAAGTTATTGTGTACAGTACACAGCATATAAAACTGAGACAGGAGAAATATGTGCAGCTGTAACATTAGTTAAAGTTTGACCTTACTTTTCTGAGAAGAACTGCTGAGTAGCTGATGAGGCTAATTCCAACATTCTGCAGTCCAGTTATGACCATTTCAGACTCACAGATCAACTGTGTTGAGCAGAGTAACTGTAGTTAATTGTTGTAGTCTTAATTCTAGTCTAACAATCTCCTCAGCCCTTTTAATTCAGCTGAAAGAAAGCCTCCAACTACTACTGTATTTCAGGTTTTTTGCAGTGGTGGTAGTAGTAATAATAATAGCAATAGTAATAACAACAACAATAAGAACAGTAACAGAAGAAGAAAACTTCAAAAATTACCTAGTCTAACCTCCTACCCTTGTATTTTTTAAAATCTCAAAGTTGTTGATCAAACTGGTATGGGAGTGGCTTTTTAATTGGCATAGGGATAATTAGTACATTAATTCTTCGCTGATCAACAGGCAAAGTGCACGTGGGGGGAATGGTTCACTAAAGTAGTTACTTCCCTTTGAAGCTGACAGCAAGTCAGAAAATTCGTTAATGGTGCTTTTCCTTCTTGCTTGTTTCTTTGTATAAGGCACTCCTGTCTGCTTGGCTTACAAAATCAAACTTGTCAAGTGTCATTTACCCTAATTTTGCTAAAAAAAAATAATAAAAAAAATCCTTTAGGAGTCTCTGACTGTAACATTCTAAGCTCCACTTAAAGTGAATCATCAGAGTCTAGCAAGCTTTAAAAAGGAGATTCTTCTAAGTCAGCCAAAACCATTCCTTCCCTCCCCAAAACACTTGAAACAAGTTGCCAATTACAGCAATTATAATAATTTTTCATATATTAAGCTGTCTCTTGATTCTTAGTTAATTAGTTCTCCAGCACTGAAGAGGTTTCTGCAGTAAACAAAACATCTAATTTTAAAGTAAACAGAGAGAGGGAAAAAAAGTAAGTATTTCTCAACCCTCCCCAGTTTCTCTCTCAAAAGGAGAAAAGCTTTGCTCTTTTTGTAGAGAACCACTAACTAGGGAGCAAGTTTTCTAAGGTGCAAGTTAACAGTCCCTCCCTACCTCCCAGAAAGGCGCTGAGGATTAAAGTTTGTAGAATGCATTGAATGTGGAAAGGCCACTGTGAGGTAGCATCACAGCATTCCTATTTCCTAGCTTCTTTCTCTGTCTTTTTGCAGAACTGCTAGAGATTTTTTAACCCAATTTCACAAAGATTTCAACTCAACCTTTTATGAAAGGAGAACTATAAATAGGCTCTTAGATTAAACCCTTAACAGCTGAAAAGGCTGGAAAGGGAGGTAGACATTAGCCACCTTTCAGTACTAAAATCTGGGGCTGGAAGGGCTTAATTACCAAGGTATACTTAAGAACACACTAAGGGCTGCTATAAAAATTACTCCAATTACAGCAGCTCCACAGACATTGCTCCACCTGGGAGAGAGGAACCCATCACTTCCATCTCCTTCCTCATCCCTCTCCTGTACCCCATGCTAATAAAGGGCAGCAGGAACAAACAGCAGCTTCATGCCATGCAACACAACCTTCTGTACCAGGCAAGCCAAAGATTTGACTTCTTTTGCTTCCCCTTTGGAAGTGGAGATGCAGTGTTCACATAACCGAAGGCAAGCAAATAATTTCAGCCCATGTATTAGCTCAGGAGTGTCTCAGGCAGAGATTTTTTTAACCCATGACCTGGATTTGAATGTGCACTTCATGATTTCTCATGAATTACACACTGTCCTGAAATGGGGAATTCATAGTTTTCCTTACAATTTTGTCTGTGACGATGTATTCTTATTTCTGATTTTCATAATTACAAATAAACATGTAATCCACAATGAGTGTTCAGTGGAATCACTTCTGGTAACAGTAGAGAAGTCCTTATGGTTTCAGTACTCCCGTGCTATGCTTTTTGCAATGGTGCTCAACTGGATATTTGTAGTTCCTTCATATATTGTACCTGAAACCGTAAGAAAATAAATCAGAATACTATAAAACCACAGTGAGTATATGAAGAGAGACTAAGATGTTGTTCCAATAGTTCAGTTACAACACTTACAATTATGAAGTGCAGATTTACAGAGCAAGTTCCAGGAACAGAATTATTACTTAAATATTTTTTTTATATTTTATGATCTGCAAATTAAAACATTCTTCTCCTGGCACAACATAATGACATTTTCCTGAAAAGCAATTCCTAAATAACCAACAAAAATTAAGTATTTATAAATGCTATCAGCAATAAAAGTCAAAGGGTTATATTGTTAAAAATGTCAAACTGTTATGTTTGAGGATTATACTGGTAAACATGGAAGCCTTGAAAATAAAACTCCACATAGATTCAGATCTGAATACTTTCTGAAAAGAAACTATTTTCAATTTTTTGAACTGGAATTTTCTTAAAAGAATAGGACACAATGTGTGGATCTGTATTTTATTGGTATCTAATTAAATATTTAGCCTCACATCCATGGATATTAATACCTAAAATTTTACCTTCTCATATATGAGCTTTTGAATCTGTGCTGATTACAGTCTCAGGGAAGAGATCTTAAAACAACAGCCAGTCTTTCATCCCCAAATTTTAATACTGCTAATGCTGCAGGAAGTACTTAAGAAACTATTACTCACCTATCTTGCAGTCACGATAGTACTTTTCTATTGGATAATTTTTTGTGAATCCAACACCACCCATCCATTCAATACATTTACTGGTTGTCAGTGTTGCAACCTATGAAAAGGGTTTCAGAGTTAAGTCAGTATTCAACTTCACACAAATAGTAGAAAATTGTATTCTTTGTATCTATTTAAGGTAAAAACAAACCAGCAATTAAAGCAGTTACTAGAGTAAGTGGGAAGAGGAAGGACTGACATTTTTGTATCACTCTTAATTATGCAAGTTATATTAGAATAAAAATGATATTTTTCTAAATCAGAGGACATCCAGAATTCACTCACCATTACTGCAACAGCTCATATGCTGCACTATGAAAATGCACACTGCTGGGCTCTATCCAAGACAGCAATTACACAAAGGAAGAAGAAATCCAGTTTCAAATCGTATTAAGACTCATGATTGCGACCAGCAGAGTTGAAATGGTCACAAATAAAGTTTCCCCACACCAATTCTCCAGCCACAAAAAGAGAATTCTGAGAAAATGACATCTCTCTAGATGAGTGTAAATCCCAGCTCCCTCTCTCTTTTAATGTTGTTGCTTCTTTTTCAAAATCTTATTTAGTTAATACCTTTAAATGTCATACGCCAGACTGAGAATGAGAAACAAGATGGAAGCAGATCCACAGATTTCACAGCAAAACATGTATTAAAAGCTATGCATGAACAGAAAAAAAACCCAAACGTGAACAGCAGTAGAATAACTCCACTGAACAAAGAAACTCAGGTTACCTCAGCAGCATAGTACTTGGCCATGCTGGCCTCCTTGATGAATGGCCTTCCTGCTTCAGCCAGACGGGCCGCGTTGTAGGTCAGCAACCTGGCTGCTTCCAGCTGCGTGGCCACCTGAGCTATCTGGTGCTGCATCCCCTGGAACAAGCACCCAACAAATCAGACACACCAGTAGCTAGGACTCAAAGAACATTTCTTTTCACCAAGGAACACCCCTAAAACAGAAACACAAAATCTAGATGGACTACTATTCCGCACCTCTCTGCCATCTGTGAAATCAAAGCCAGAAGAACTCTGGGCTACCCAAGTCCTTTCAGGAGTTGCACTCCCATTTTCTCCTTCCCTCTTCTTGGATTCAGGAGTACTGGGGAACATCTTGCCTGGCTATCTGGACAGGAGGGTTCAACATGAACCTATCTGCAGCCATGAATATTGAGGAAAATTTCAGCCAAATCCTCCTGTTCTCCTCAGAACCAGAGACACAGGGAGGTCAAGGCTGTGTTTTTAGTTTGCAACTTGCCTGGTGAGAACAGTCCCACACTCAAGTCTAGTTCCGTGAGAAGCTTCACTAAGAAAAACTTGAAAAAAGTACCTCATAAACCAAGTGCAGAACTAGCAAAGTGACACCTACTTCTTCCCATGTCCCATAGCCATGAGAAAAGAGACAGGAGCAGAATCAAAATCTAGAGAATTTGACTGATGGGTGGATTCCAGGGGAAGGAAAGAGGTGATGCAGCTCACCTCTAAATGGCAGGTATTAAGAAGAAAAGGTTTATTTAAGAAGACCCAAACATGATCATGACTGAAAATGAACATTTAGTTGTCTAACCTGCTCGTAAAACACAATGAAAACTTCCATCTTATTAGAACATTGACACTGCTCCCTAAAATTAGCAAAAATATACAGGCAGGTCAAAATAACAAAATGATGCAGCAATTATGAATTCCATTTCCCATTCCAAAGACACAGTTCCAATAATTTCCTAGATATCTGTGAGTGCTTCCTAAAATTTGTATAAATTATGAGTAGTACTAATGTTCCTTCCCTTCATCCACGATGTAGGTTTCTTTTACCAAGAAAATGACTATAGTAATTACAATTATCTATCTTCCTTATTAAACTATACATCATTTTTGCAACAAAGAGTCCCTCTCATTTTAAGATACAGATATTATCATGGAAACTAAATGGCTTTGTATAATACAGGAAATCGAATAATTCCATCAGTTTTCCTCATCTTTGTATAATTTTTAGTGTCTCCAGAAAAAGGCCTTCCCCTACACCTCATGAAAGGGCATAAAAACTGGAACACATTCAACACACTGTGATATTAAAATCAGAAGAGAAAGGAGCTCCATGTCTATTAATTTTAAAGGCAGTGAATAGACTATCAAGGAAAGGGAGATCTGTTAATAATTTTTTTAAGTTTTAAATAATTTATGTGGTACTTGCAAGGGCACACAACACTGAACTGATGTATTTTCTGTGACAGGTGAATGTTCATCTGAAATTCTTTTGAAAAAATTTTCTCAAACATTGAGAAGTAAGAGACATGACCCAAAGTGAAGCAGAAATGACACATATCACATTACTAATTTTACTGACTTCATCTGCTGTGGTAACTACCACTGTCTTGGAGGAAACTTCCCATGTGTTCGTTAACAAGTACCTGGAAATCAAATACACTTTTCCCAAATTGGACTCTCTCCTTTGTGTAGGGAGTTGTATGGTCAAAACACCCCTGTGCCAGTCCTAACATCTGTAAGAAAGAAGATATATTGAGGTGAGTTAGGACAAAACAAACCCCAAACACACCAAAAATTTGAGGAGTAAGCCTATTCCATACTAAGCCATTCCTGAAAGAAATTCAATACTAATCCATTCCTGAAAGAAACTTTTTAGTAAAAACAAAGGATTTGTGAAAACACTATAACTGATTTTTGAACAAAAGTCATGAGTAAAACAATTGCAAAAATATTTAGCATTTCTGGCAAAATTCTTAATTACATGAGAAAATTACTGTAAACTAAAGACCTATAGATCTACATTACACTATTACAGGAAAAATAATTTGAATGATTATTCAAAGCTGTTTTCATAATCAAAATAATTTCTCATTTTATAGAGGACACTAGACTGTGAGAATTAGTAATTTATTTCAGAAGTTAGAAAATCAGTATAGTGGAATCAGACACAGTATTTGTTCCAGCATTTTCTAGGGAAAAAAAACAACTCAAGAGACCAATTTTAGAAGACCCATTGTCTTTTCACACACTCTCTTCACTCAACAGCAAAGACAGCAGAACACAGTTGTTATCTTGGATGATAACATCTAGGAAAACTACACAGAAACACTTATAAAGAAGTAACTCACAACTACACTGGTGCCTGATTTGTTAGCCTAAAGAAACATCATGAAATCTGGAAACTAAACTAGTTTTGTAGTTTTATGACTTCCAAATTTCAAGAAGTGTATTCCATTCCAAACAAGATAGCAAAGACAGGACCCTGCCTTTCATAAATCTTGGAATATATAGCTATTAGTACATTCATCTGAACACATTATTTCTATCTGCTTTCTTTCCTGTGAAAAACCAAGACTGGAAATTAGATTAAGGGAGCATCAAACAAGAAAAAAAAAGGGAAACTAAAGGTATGAAAACTATCGAAAGCAAAGTAACTGTATATGGTAAAATTAAAAGCTCTGCTATGAAGACAGGCTGAGAGTTGGGGCTTCCCAGCCTGGAGAAGACAAGGCTCTGGTGAGACCTTAGAGCACCTTCCAGTGCCTGAAGGGGCTCCAGGAAAGCTGGGGAGGGGCTTTGGAAAAGGATTGTAGTGAGAATATAAGGGGTAATGGATCAAAACTGGAAGAGTGGAGATTTAGGTGAGACATTAGGAGGAAATAATTTCCTGTGAGGGCGGTGAGACCCTGGCCCAGGCTGCCCAGGGAAGCTGTGGCTGCCCCATCCCTGGAAGCATTCCAAGCCAGGCTGGATGGGGCTTGGAGTAACCTGGTCTGGTGGGAGGTGTCCCTGCCCATGCAGGGGTTTGGAACTAGATGATCTTCAAGGTCCCTTCCAAATCAAACCATTCTATGATTCTATGACAACAGCTTACGGGTATTTTTTTATAAACTCACACATTAAGCTGAAAGTCAAGGGCCCCAAGATGATAAAAACATGACTCTGACTGGGTTCAGACATCTAGTCCTTAATCATTTAAGGTTCTAGAAAAAAAAACCCACAATACATAGGAAAATGAGTATGTGGGAAGAGAAAGTAAGAAAATAATGCAGTCTGCTGCTAATCAGCTTTATTACGAGATTTGTCATCTTCTTATACATCTGTATCAACTTCAGCACTTCTAACAATAAACAACTCAGAGGTCAGCAAATATTTTCCCTTAAGATGCCATAAGATGCAATATTCAAACACAGCAATGAACTAGGACACTTATCTTATTATAAAAAACACATTTATTTTAACAATAAGCTGACACACAATCATGGCTGGAAGCATTAATATAACACATTTCAGTGTGTTCTATTTTCCAAAGCCAATTTTCTTTGTAAAATGAATAATGGCAGATAAAAATATTGCAACATTTCAGCAGCAATAAGTTAACCACCAAAGACAAACTAATTGCCATTTAATGTTTTCTAAATATATTGCTTATGTCACTGAAAGAGAATTTCACCATGTACGCTTGTTTAACTGTTACTGTAACTTAAATACAGGAATGGTGACATCTAGTGGCAACTTAGTTTTTTAATAAAGTATTTTTAAAATTGTTCATTCTTACTGGCTTTAAATATTTTGTAAATTTCAATCCAAATTTCAAGTTACATACTGGTTGGATGCAGTATTAAGAAAAAAAACACACCCACCTGTGCAGCAATACCTATTCTGCCAGTATTTAGCAATCCAATTGCATACTTATAGCCTTGCCCAACCTGTCCCAGGATATTGGTCTCAGGAACCTAAGGAATAAAACCACTCAATTATTCCTCTTCTACTCTGCAACTGCCAGCATGGTTCACAGGTGAAGCAGTGTACATGTTTTATTTAACCTTCCTTGTAAGTGAAGACATAAAATATAAACTAGACATTTGATTTCCAAATAAACTGATTAGAACATTCCCTGATACACGTGATTATAAACTGATGATTGAGAAAAACTGGATTATAATTCAAGGAAGTCAAGAATTTTGTCAAAAGGAAAAAGTTCAATCAGTACGTTTAAGGGAAAAATATTGGGAATTGAATTAACATTCTTTCCTTGTATGTAGTCAATTATACATAAAGTCTGCTTCAATAACTAAACAACCTACAATACCTTAACATTTTCAAATGTTACTGGGCAGGTTGAAGATGCTCTGATTCCAAGCTTGTCCTCCTTCTTCCCTACATGCAGTCCTTCTGTGTTGCGATCTACTATGAAGCATGTAATTCCCTTGTATCCCTAGGATGAATTAAAAAATAATCAAAAACTGGTTTTATATTAATAGCACCAAATGGTGGTCTAAAGATCTCATTCCAGTACTGAAGTTTTACACCTGCTTGATACTATGTTGCTAAATAAAACACTGGCACCATCATCTGTTCCCTCTATGTCTGCCAATCATGGTTAAATAAAGGCCAGGGATACCTTCCTATGAATATATTCCATGTGGAAAACATAATCAGAACCTTAAAAGTTCTCCTGACAAGACAGAGGACTGTTATTATGTAAATTAAACAGACTGGGCTGCAGTACCTGCTTGTACTAGGGATCATTGGGAAAGTAAATTATCCCTGTGCCATCCACTAGCATGACTACAAATACTGTTAACAGACCTAATCCAACACCCAGAACTAGTGTCCACCTTCTTCTGTGATTCCAGTTTGGAGGACATTGATATCACTGTCTCTCCACTTTAGAGGTAGTTGGCATATAATTAATAAAGTAGTCTGAAATAATTTTGATGGCTGCTGTCAGAAGGCTCAAAGAGTGATTTGAATATTGGAATACTCAAAGACTCTTAAGGCAGTGATTTGGCAGGACACTAAATAACTCCTGTGACAACACACAGGCTTGTATACCCAGCCTAAATCCTGGCATCTCCTAGATACATGCTTACCACCTTCATATCTTTGAAGTCTTAAACGAGATTCTTAAAGAACAGAACAGTGATTCCTGATGGCTGTCAGTTTCTCTTTTTCCCCTCTGTGTAACTCTTACTCTCAGTTCTCTCCTTTCCACCACTCACTCTTGCTCCCCCAGCCAGAACAGCAGCAGGTTCTCTTATCAACACACGTTGCATGTGACAGACATGCTAGTTGTTCCCAGCCGTGTTTCCATGTCTTCCTGTCCCTAACATCCACAGCACCTCCTCTCACTAAGAGGGTGACACTGAGAGGCAGGAAAAGCTCTGTGGTTCCCCTGGAAGAATTTATTCTAAGGAAAGAGGAGGCTGCTGTTTCAATCTCACCTCAGTGACAGCTTGTCTCACCATGGGAGCTGCTAGTACAGAGATTACATTTCAGTACACAATTCTACTCTGATCTGTTTTCTTGTTTATACTGATGGCAACTGTCACTTAACCTTAGAGCAGCATTGACTTTTAGTCTCCTTCTGAATATTTAAAAGCCAACTTCTAATTTTAAGAAGATAATGTATTACAATTCTTTTAAATTATAGACATGAATATAGAAGCAACTCCAGATTGTACAGCAATGGAGAGCAGTTAACAAATATAAAAACTACACAGTTAACTATATATAGTTCATATATTTTCATTGTAAGCAGTACTCAAATCACCCACCAGCTTTTGTAGAAATGAACAAAAATTCAGAAAGCAACATGACATTCAACTGTTTGATGTAGTGAAAGAAAAAAGCCCTCTTATTTAGACAAAACCTGAGATTTTACTTTTAAAAATAAATATATTCAAGTTCCATTTTTAAAAAAAGAGACAGTGAAAGAAGTTTAAAAAAAGATAAAAGTTTTAAACAGTTTAGGTTTGTATTCAATTATCACTCTATTATATTTGTATAGTAGATTTTAAAGTCTGTCATTGATTTTCCTGAATCTACTATATCAAAGTTGCTGACAAAACTTGGAACATGCATATTCAGATATGTATTTTTTTTACCAGAACACACTTTTAGTATCCCTGTTAGTTTTCCAGTGCATTTAGCCTAAGCTCTATTTTTGAACAGCAGCAAGTTGTTAGTTAAGCCAGAAGGGTGGGAAAGACTAGGCTACCTGTTCTCCCATGACACAGAACAACACCCATGCATGCTGTGCTCTTCACCTCAGCAATTATGATTCTGACATTTTAATTTTCCCTGGTGGAAGAAATGTATTAAATTGCTCAGCAAGTTCTCAGTTTTTGTTGGGAAATATTTTTAAAGGTTTGCTAAGAAAAGGTGCAAAGAATATTAACCTTTAACATCAGATTATTAATATCAAATCCGTAGTTTCATACATCATCTGCCACTGAAATTCAACTACTTTTCAGCAACTTACTAAGGATGGATCTGTATTTGCCATCACAAAGAAAACTCCTGCATGTTCTGCCAAGCTAATCCACATCTTTGAGCCATTGATAATATAGTAGTCTCCTTTCTTCTCAGCCCGAGTCTTCAAAGAAAAAGCATCACTGCCAGATCCAGCTTCTGTGAGACAGAAACTGCCTATCTGTCAATTGAAGGGAAAAACTAATTTTAACTGAACGTTCAGGCACAACAGATGACAAATTCTGCAAGGAAAATAGTTAAAAAACAGCTAAAGTCTCTTAAATTCAAACACTTCATTGCATCAAAGTAGCTAAGCTTCAGATAAGGAGGTTAAGAATAGAAACACTATGTAATTACATGTCTCTCAAAGTCAACTGCTTTAAAGTTCTTTTCCACAGTAAATTAATTTTTAATGAAACTAATAAGTGCCTTTCCACTTCTATCTCTCAGCTACTGATGACAGGATCTATCTGTATCACTAGAGAGCTCAGCACTAACCAGCATATCAAAGTTCACACATTTAGTCACTCAAAAAAACCAACCCATTAACATGTAACTATTAAATACTATATTATACTTTAGCAAAGTAACTTCGACTCACTGTATCTTTTGCCACTCTGGGCAAGTAAGTTCTCTTTTGTTCTTCTGTTCCATATGTGGAAAACAACCTATTTGTTAGTGTATTTTGGAGTTCACAAAGAAGAGATACAGCTGGATCAACTTTAGCCAGTTCTTCTACCACCAATATGACTGAAAAAAATGAAGCTCCAGTTCCTCCATATTCTTGTCCAAGGTCAATACTCATCAGCTGAAAAGCAAATAGATCAAACTTATTATCCCAAGCTGATATGTAAGAGATTAAAATAAACCCCACGGAATTTAAATAGTTACAGATCATTCTCCAAATCCTGTTTTCCTTCAATACCCTTAACTAACAATTATTCACAGAAGTTGATAGTTCATGCAAGAAATAACTAGCACGTGCAGTATGCAGGCCAGTCTCTCTAATCTGATTATATGCTCCAGAACAACTGCAATCTCAACAGAAATCTAATACTTAAAGTTTTCATTGTATAAAATGACTTTTGGTAGCAGGAAAGGCTCAAATTGAATCCAGGAATGAACACCAGGATACAACAATACCTGCAAAACAAGTCCTTGTGGTTGCCCAGGACACAGAAAACTCCTGATACCCTTTATCAGCCACGTCAGTTCTATGCAATTATGTTTATACAATTAGAGCAAAAAGGGGAAGGGGAGGGAGAAGATGGGGAACTCAAAGATAAAGAGTGTGGTGTGGTAGAGATGGAAAGACTATTACAGGAAAAGATGGGAGAGTGATAATGTAGTAAAAAAGAAGAGAAAATTGCTCTGGTGTTGAGAAATCCAAATTTTTTAATGATTCATTAATTAGCTCATTTGAATTATATCACTCAACCTGAAAATCTGAAAAGTGCACAGCTAGAAAACTATATGATTTACGTCACTTTCCGAAGAAAATTAAGTAAAAGTGTGCAGACCCCTTGTTCAAACAATCCCTGTATTATAGAGTCTTCCATTTCTGAATTCTCATCCATTTTTTGCACCAAGGGTGCAACTCGCTCCTGAGCAAATTTTGCCACTGCAAGGAAGAGAAGAAAGAAAGA